CTCTCTCTCCTCTCTCTCTCTCTCTCTCTTCTCGTTCTCTCTCTCTCTCTCTCTCTCTCTCTCTCTCTCTTCTCTCTCTCCTTTTCTTTTCTCCTTCGAATAATGGAAATTGGAAATAATTACATCTTTGAGACTCAAATTTCAGAGCTTTGTCAGTACATCATGTACAAACTGAATTAAGAAATAAGGAATGGTTCATTTTTAATTTTACCAATAATTAGCTTTAAAAACTTGGGCATTGTTTACAAAACCAGTACAGGCCATAAAATTACAACTATAAGAATTTATTTTCTTGAAATTATTGTAGTTTTTATATTGAATTAATATTATTTTAAACAATTTCTATTTCAGGTTCAGATTTTCCTGTGTCCACCTATTCATGACATTAAATACCTTGCATCCATGTTGTAAGAAACGTACATTGTGAGAAGCACAACGGTGAATAATCGGTTAAAAGAAGTTTCTTGAAGTAATGCCCCTCATCTCTCTCTATGCATCTACAGAGTTATGTATACTGTGATATAGTACAAAAATTCACTATATAACAAAACAGTACAACAAAATAGTATAAGACTGAATCTTAAAAATAAAAAAAAATTTAAAAAAATAAATAATTAATCAATGGAAAATTGAAGGAAATATTGATATTTTTTTGGCATCATTTGAAGAAGAAAATGAAGTCTCATCAAACAATCAAACCTGACTAAGCAGGATTTCAAGAGAGAAATTTTATTCTCACTTAAAGAGTGTCTCACACACACTTATTTACGAACAAAAAGTGATAATCTCACTTATAGAGAAATTCCCTTATGCAGATTCAAAACACTTTTGATTTAGGTACAAAGGTGAATATTTGATGAAACTTTTACAAAAAATTATTTATAAACATCATATTATATGTGACATTTTATACTGCGTGTAAATTACCAGCTAAAAATTAATATAAAAACCATTTCATTTACAATTTACATTCTAGTTCTATGCCTTGCCTTTATCAAATTTACACAGTATTATTAATCTTTAGCATGCTGACAATGAAATTAACTTTCGCTTCAATTACATAGGCAAATCTGAATGGAAAAGCAATTTCAATTTAAGAGGTTTTACATTCACAATAATAGAAGTATTTTCATATTAAAATATGAGGACTTCAGAATTACACCCACTTATAGATTTCCTCATTTCCAGATTTGACACTACTTATTTTGGCAAAAAGTATTTTTAGTCATGTCTTTTGTCTTCATTTGGTCGCAGTTGTATAGTTCAAGATAAAATTAGTATCATTTAGATTTTGGTACAACCATCATTGTCACAAAATTAATTAAATTAATTTGAAACTAAAAATATTAGACATAATTCAAGCAGTAATATAAGAAACAAAATTATTATATCTGTAATAATATAAAAGCTAAGATCAACTTCATTCATTCATTGAAAATTTTATTTCATTTTATTTCACTTCATTTTAATATGATGAAGCTGATCTTATATCATGTGACCTTTTCCTCTAATTTGTCCCATATTTTGTAAATTTGACTGTTTGATTTTGTTTGTGTTAATGAAAATTGTATTTTTATTTTCTTTTGAATTACTCTCAATGGTCATAATGTGGTTGATAAAGGTTTTTACTGAATTAAGTGACTATTAATTGTAGTTGTTAATTGTAGTTGTTAATTGTAGTTATGTGTATTAATTAATTAATTAATTTACTGAATGAATTAATACACTACAAAAGGCTACATTTTCTTCTTCAATGAATGAAATCACTTGATTACTTGACCAAATTCAACTACCTATTGTAGAAATCACAACTACTATCAAGTTATTAATGATTTTGTGTATAAAACATTCATTGCAGGGAATAATTTTGCATCACTTACCAATTATATAATATCACAATGAGTAAACATTTGGTAGCATAATAATTTTTCTACTGAGACTGCTTGAATAAATATAAAGAAATAGACAAGCTTCCTATTGAATATTTTAATTTTACTGGCAAGTTTTACATTCTCTCTGTGTATATTTTCTTCAGCTCCAGAATCAGTCTGATTTGTGGAAATACAACTAAAAAATAGAAAAGAACCACCTAGCAATTGAAACTACTTGCATGAGTAAACAAGGTACATGTTGTTGTGCCTGAACAAATAGATATTATCCCTTTTCCAGAATACTGATGTAACTCAAAAAAATAAAAATTGAGATTTTAAGGTGAATTAGTTCAAAAAAATGTGTTACATGGAATGAGTCTTTATATCTGACATTATTCCAATTATCACTTGGTATCAGACGCATTGTTATTTCATACTCAGAGTTCACCATTTATTTTTAAGGAATAATGTCCAAAAATTCAGAGTTTTACAAAATTCATTTTCATAAACTAAAAACTAAGTGATCTAAACAATTTTTTGTTATAACTTGAATATTACTGATTAATGGGAAGGTAATGAAGTTGCGGGAAATTAAATTGCGCTCTCCTGGACAAAAATATTTTTGGTGTTGAGAGCATTCCAGAAAAGCAACATGATATGTGAAGCAAATGTCATGATGTATGAAGCAAAAAACACTCTCAATTTTGTTTTCCATGTAAAGCATGTTTTAATTCACCATTACATTTCTTACAATTATGATATGATTAAGGCATCAGTTGTAATTAATTTCTCACTCACTCTCATGTACATAACTTATTTTCATAAAAAGAGAACATAGTTCATTTTGCAGTCTTAACAATATTAGGTTTTACAGTATTGCCAAAAAAGTAATTGAACCTCCCACTCTCACATCCAACAAGATGAGAGCTCAGGATAATACATGCAGATAGTAATGAACGTAAATTGTATGTGAACTACATTCTGATAATATGTTATATCCAGAGCATATTGTTTTTGTGAAATTGTAGGACATAATGACTTGATATTTAGTTAAATCCTTATTTTATTCTTTGATTGGGTTGATTTATCCTTATTACAATTTTTAAACGCAACAATCATAAGGTTTACTAAGAATATAAAATGTCTTGTCTCTTACTTTTTTTAAATGTCCAAATGAAATTATATGAAAGCTTGCATCAATTTGAATTTAATTATATTTCTTACATTCCAGCAAGCTCATGTAACACTTTGTAAATATTAGTTCTGATTTTATTATCTGGTGTGAATCTCATCAGAAAGTGAAGATGTACCTTGTTATATAATACGACAAAACTAACTTTTGCAATTCTGTAGCCCAAAGATAAATAAATATTTCATCAAAATGTCTTTATTTTTATTTGGTGAAGTAAGTTTGTATTTTGGTTATTTAGATTGACTGATAAGATTGGGGCTTATGGACTTAAGTGTTTAGGCAAATGGTTCTAGATGCAGAATGCACCAGGGGTAAGAACATTTTTCGTTTTATATTGGGGGAATTGTAACAAGGAAGGCTCAATGACATGCCAGCCCTACTGGGATGATCATACATGTTGGAATCAAGTGTGTGGTCCCAGAGGATATAAAGCAGGCTTTATGAAAAACGAGTATGCATGTGAATGGTTGAAATTACTTCTACTTCACAACGATCCACCCATCCTTGATTTTGTGAGTGTTTTCCCAGAAGCAGGGTGGGGGGATAAGTTCGACAATTTATGGCGTAGATCTGGTGGTCATAGAAGCACAATAGCATTACATTCCTTTGATTAAAAAAATATAATTACAACATTATTAATTACATCTGAAATGTTCAGTTTCTAAGTATTAACATATTAAAGTGTACTAATGAAATATGTAGTTTTAGCTAAAATATTTTTAAAAATATATAATAATATCAAAATTGAAAAAAAAACGTTCTAATTCATTCAGTCATGTTAACTCTAAAAGTCATTATAGAACACTGGTTTCTTCTTCCTTTAAAAATATGTATTGACATGAAAGTCCATTCCGTAGTAATTATGAATTATAATCCAAAAAAATTACTTTATATAAAATTAATTTGTCTTGTTTTCATTAATTGTTCTATAAAAACCATATTTCAAATACAATACTTTTTTTCTAATTAATACATCATTCTTAACATACTAATTATCGACTACAGAAGAAAATATTGAATGTGACACTGTATAATAATTTGAAATACTATTCATTGAATTGTAGAAATCCACTTTCTTCGAAGTTTGTCTATATTTCTTTCTGCTTTCCTACTGTCTCTAATATTCACCAAATCCAATAACTTATAAATTCAAACTCTAATCTAATAATTTACAAAAGAATTTATATAGCATCCTAATCATAAACAAGCTGACAGCTAGTAGAAATTAAAATTCAGTATCTCTTAGAAAAAAAGAGAAATTGACTCTTAAATTGATTTACTAATTACTCAAACTAAACATTTGAAAGGAGCAAAATATATTAGAAACTTCAAACCCCCATTCAGGGCATTAATTCAATTGATAATTGGGAAAATGTTTCAATTTGAAAGTGAACTTGAATTTTTGCAAGCTCATCTTTAAAAACTGACCGGTTCCGCTCAAGGCTATTAAATGTTATGTGGACATGCTTGAGTAAACAACTTATTCATATGGGTTTTAAAACTTTAATTGAATGAAGTGTGGAAGATACTTTCCAAAAGAACTGTCTGGAGAGAAATGCGTGCGCTGCACAATTAAGCCAATACACAATGTTGGCGACCCTGCGTCATTCACGTATTGGTTCTGAAATCTTTGTGAGAAGTGAGTATTTTATTATTTCTTGACTTTCCCCCTGGTCGATGTGAATAAGCATTATCTACTGTTCTGTTGTAAAATTGGTTGCGAAAGTATGCTTCCAATACCGCCTTTGCGATTTGATACATTGGCAAGACATGACATCTGAAGGTAGAAACAATTTCTCCATGGATGCCAGGCTTCCGCATTCCCCCATCGTGCTTCTCGCGTATTGTACGGAAAGTACTTTGGGCGTTGTGCGAAAGTCCTCTGCAATACCATAATTTCTGCTGCTGCAGATTTACTTCAATTGTATTGTGATAAAATGGGTGATGAAAGTGAAATAATCGAAAGTGACGTGGGAAAGCGAGACGAAATTGTGAAGGAAGGCAAATCGAAGTCCAGTGCTCGTAGGAGGAACAGACGCAAGGAAAATGCCGCAAGTACAGGTGGAAACGATACCATCGCGCGGAAGGGCGAAGGGGACGATGAAAACTGCCCCGAGCATATTTCCGACGAAAACGCGCAGACTGGAGTCAATGTTTCCATGCGCGACATTCGGAAAGCGATTGAGGTTATGACGTTCGTGCCGGCTTTCAAACAAGCGAAAACTCCGGAAGAAGCATTGCAAAAGCAATACCAATTCTGGAACACGCAACCCGTCCCAAAAATGGACGAAAAAATCACTTGCAACGAGCCCATCGAACCCGATAAAGCGATCGAGGAGATTCGCCAGGAACCGTACTCCCTCCCGGACGGCTTCAAGTGGGACACGCTCAACTTGAACGAGCCCTTGGTGCTGAAGGAGCTGTATGTGCTGTTGAACGAGAACTATGTGGAGGACGACGATTCAATGTTTCGTTTCGACTACCCGCCTGACTTTTTGAAATGGGCACTGCAGCCTCCTGGATGGAAACGTGAGTGGCACTGCGGCGTTCGCGTGATCAAAAGCAACCGGCTAGTGGGCTTCATCAGTGCCATACCAGCCACTCTACGCGTGTACGACTTGGCTCGCCGAATGGTAGAAATCAACTTCCTGTGCGTGCACAAGAAGCTGCGTTCGAAACGGGTCGCGCCTGTCCTCATCCGCGAGATCACACGTCGTGTGAACCTGACAGGCGTGTTCCAGGCGGTGTACACGGCCGGAGTGGTGCTGCCCAAACCCGTGGGCACCTGCAGGTACTGGCACCGCTCGCTCAACCCCAAGAAGCTCATCGAGGTCAAGTTCTCGCACCTCACGCGCAACATGACGATGCAGCGAACCATGAAGCTGTACAAACTGCCGGACGCCACCAAGACGCCCGGTTTCCGGAAGATGACTCCCGCCGACTTGCCGCGGGCGCAGAAACTTCTTGACGAATATCTCAAGAGATTCGACTTGGCGCCTGTGTTTTCGAACGAAGACTTTCGCCACTGGTTCTTGCCCCGTTCTGGCGTAGTGGATAGTTTTGTAGTGGATGACGGCAGTGAACTGACGGATTTTGTGAGCTATTATACCCTTCCGTCTACAGTCATGCACCATCCGATTCATAAAACGTTGAAAGCTGCTTATGCGTTCTATAATGTTGCTTCAAAAACGAGTTGGTTGGACCTGATGACGGATGCACTGATATCTGCTAAAAATGATGGGTTTGATGTGTTTAATGCTTTGGACTTAATGGAGAATAAAGAGTTTCTTGTAAAACTAAAATTTGGAATTGGTGACGGCAATCTTCAATATTATCTGTACAATTGGAGGTGTCCTTCGATGCCACCCCATAAAATTGGACTGGTCTTACAGTAAATAAATGTAATTGTTATATTTCGGGATGAGAGTTATTATTGTTGCTATGTCTATTAAACTTATTAAATAAACATTCGTGTTATTTTTTAATCGCGGTCCAAGTTTTGAAGCTGATTTCCACCAGTTTGCAATTTTGTGGGTTGAGAATTGAATGTTTTAAAGATCTCATTCTAAATGATTAGGGTTTTGCTATTTTCCATATAGCTTTAGTTATTAATAAGAAATGCGGGGTACATTACTAAAAATGTCAAGGCATTCCTGTAGAAATCACTGTCAGAGCATTTCAAGTGAGCATGAAATAGAATGTTTTAATACTATGATTGTGTTGTAAGTGTAAGTACTAAGTGAAATATTTGCACTTGTTTTTCGTAGTTAGCTTCATAGAGTACCTGAGTTTGAAAAACCTCTCAAATCACCTGTTCAAAAATCCCAGTTCCTCTGGAAGCTTTTTCATTCTCTTTTGATTTGACATATTGTTTTTCAAATATCCAGTAAGCTTTAAAGTAATTCTTATAAGTTTCTGGTCATCTGTCTTGCTTAGTGGCAAGTTTATTTGATATTTCTGTGAAAAGAAACTTCACAAATTCTCCTACAGATCGCAATAGTTTTTCGTAAACAAAGATCAGCTGATTAAAGTGTATTAACTCCCTTGTCAAATAAGAATGCCTTATGAAATAGACATGTCTTGGTTTTGTTTTTTTTTCCTATGATTATTATATTTTCTCAGTTTAAGCAGTTAATTCTCTTTCTAAATCTCTTCAAGGCTAAATTCATCTTTAACTTCAAATGAATCTTTGTAACCTCTATCCTAAATAGGATTAAGGGAACATTAGTAAGACAGGGAAAACTAAATAACACACATTAATATATATTATCCACAGGATTGCTTTCATTCCCACTATCTAACCCAGTCAAAGCTTTGCTTTGCTTTCCTCTGCGGATTTCTTTCTCAATGTTTAAAAATTATACAATTAAAACAAATTAACAAAATAAAAAATACTACTTTAAAATGGCTGTGTTAAAGTATGAATTATCTTCTTTTTTTTTATAATTTTGAACAGTTTGTGTTGGAGGGGTCGGCTACGTGATGAATTCCCATCTGGGACCGTTTTGCTTGTAGAGTTATATCATTTTATAGGTTCATCTTTGCTTTTTTAAGTGCATATATATTTTATTGCCATTTGATGATAAGGGTGAAAATAGAATTCTAAAAAGTATTTCTATTTTTCTGGGGAAAAAAAAAGAAGAAAAAAAAGTAACTGAACAAAAAACAACAACACAGAATTACACCCAACAACAATACAGGTGCACTATAACACTTAATTTCTCCAAAAGCACAAACATAACTTACAAAGAAAGTCTATCATGAACATCATCAACAATTCACGTAAGTATGAACATTAGTATAAACAACAGAAAAAATTGCAAATTCAACAAGTAGAAGCTGATATTGGCAATTGCTACATTGGCTAATATTGGCTGATATTGGCAAAAGAAAGAAAGAAAGAAACGTTAGAAACATTATTCAGCTCAGAAGTGTTAAACATTGAGAAGGCAATTTGCAGAGGAATGCAAAATGTTTCCTCTTTGTTTCTTTCAAGGGGGAAATTAAAATAGACCTGTGAATAAAGTGAGTTATTTGATCATCCCTGTGACCTGCTATTGTTATCTCTTAAATTGAAATGAATTGTGAAGTTAAAACAACAAAATTTTGCTTCACAAATTAAATAACGACGGTCTATATTTGTATGCAGTAAAAACTAGATATATTCAGTTAAAATTTCTCATTTTTCAAGCTGAAGATAAATGTGAATAGGGAAGTGATAGAGACAAACAAGTTGCTGATTGATTCAACAAAAGCAGGTGTTTGGTGAATATATGGTTTGAGCAGACTTTTTCCTGGAAAAGATCAAAACATTTGTAATTTAAGGCTTCTTTTTGTTACATATACTGTGAATATCCTAGCTGAAATTATCTGATTGTTTCTTTGCATATCATCAGGTTTGAGACACTGATAGTGGCCACTTCAACAAAAAATTTGAAAAATAAGAATTTGAAGCTTCCAACTTGCAGAACATGGAACTTTTTCCATTTAGTGGTGAGGTGAACAGCATAGCAAATATATATTCTTTTATACGTAAAATATCAGTTGATACAGTTATGCAAAACACAACCTCTCATAAAATTGGCATTACAAAATACCAAAAACTGGTACTTTTGATTTCAAAGTCTAAAGTGTTTATGAGGTAGACTATTGAATGGCTAGTATTGACTTATGTATCTTATTATTACCTTAACTATTCAATTTCAACTGAATAAAAATGAGGGTTTGGCAATAAATTAATTTTTAAAAAGTAAAAGAAATTGAAAATTGTCCATTTTTAGGCAAAGAATGCATTCAGAAAGCGGTATGCTAATCGTCCATTGAGTTTCACAAAACAAATTTAGTACCAAGAATTTTAAGAAAATGTTCCTAACTATGGCTACTTCTAGTGCTTTTACCTTTTGTAGTGTTCAGAGGGAAGGGAAAAATAAATGAATTTGATAGAAGTCTTAGTCCAAGTAATTTGATTTCCCACTTTCAATAGGATTTTATCAATAGAAAGAATGAGCCAGAAAAGGGAAATAATACCAACTTCTGAACATGCAGTTCAATGGATTATTGGTAATAAAATATGCAGCATCATTCATCATATCACCAATTTATGCAATTTGGTGTGGAGTATCTTAAATATGCAAAATAAAACTTCTAAGGACCTCATAGTGGAGATATGTCACTGGCTTAGGTTACTCAGGGCATCAAATGAAGTCACTGATGTGTGTCTGACTGGGAGGTCCTAGGGTTCAAGCTTGGACAGTGGCAGGATTTTGATGCTGGCGAGATAGTTAGGTTGGAATGAGCTGCCCTTTGGAGAAGAATTCTAGCACCCCTCTGCTCTGATCGGTAGTTTTTCTATGGTTTCATGATCAACACCAGGAAAATACCAGAGTAGGACCCTTGAAGACGGACCAAAGACTGCACACAATCTTTCCTTCCTCTTCCTTGTCCTATTCTCAAACTGTCACACATTTTCACGTACATGTACTACATAACCACACGTCAGGAGCTTACAGTTTGTCCCGGCTGGGTAGTGCCTCATTGGTGGGAGATACTTTGGCTGGGAAAAACCCCACAGGCCGATGTGTAGCTTGGTTCTGGGTGTCGCCATCTAATGAGAGAAAAACACTGTTACCTTCCTGTGATGACACATGCTCTACACAACATACACTACAGGTCTCGTGACCATAGCAGTTGAATGCTCAGAAACATGAAATATTCAATCAATCAATCAATGGATAGAAAAACATCTGACTAAGAAGCAGAAATATGCAATTGCATAGAAATATTTGCGTTAAGAGTAATTGAAATGCACTCTTGCATGTATATGAGTCATTAATTATGTAATCAAAATATTTTCATTTTTGAATTGAAGAAATTCTTAGGTTTAAATCCTGTTACATCTTTATTTTCTATTGTATCTGTTTCATCTTTATTTTATCATCTTCTGAAATTAGAGAAATCAAAGCAAAAATTAAGGAAATAAGTAGCTTTTAAATAAATCCAATCTGACATCTTTGTCTATGAAGTAAAACCATTTGAATTGCATGAACCACTTTTCTTGTAAAACCACATGAATCTGAGCATTGCACAGTGGGATATTTCGGTTGAAATGTTATTCGAACAAATGGAGGTACTTTTTTTTTTTCTCTCCCTCTCTCTGAATGATCTGATTCATTTTCTTTATAAGTTATAAGATAGTTGAATTAAAAAGGGTGGTATACATCTGGAGAAAATATCTTTATAAATTTACCTATTAATTTTTCATTAAAAATATCCCATTGACCAACTTTGTAAGATTTTATCATTAAAGAAGACGATAATAGTGTGTGTTTGCATAACATTTTTAATGATTAATCCACTACCAAGAAAGTATTACATAAAACACATTAGAATACACTCCACGATTTTGTTATTTTGCGATGGAATAAAAACAGTTTATTTTCTCTTTAATTAACTATCTGCAAAACATTGCGGTGTGATTCTCAATTCATTACTATTATCCAAGGATTTTATCTAAACATCCTCCTATAAAACATTTCCAATAATTGAGAAACTATTATCTATTAAACTTACAAGATTAAGTCTTAGTAGTAAAAGTTTGGTATGTCTACAGTTGGACAAGGTGAGGGTCTGCAATATTGAGTTATTAAATTTAAAAGAACCATCGAATGCAGAAAGGGTACATGTTCACATTTTAGAGATTTTAATGTTATGATTGGTAATCCTTTCTTTCAGATTTATCTTTCACTGTGCAAAAAGTTTTTTTGTAATATATTACGTTCAGATATTGCAAATGTATCTACAAAATAATTTACAAAATAAAATAATAGTAATAAGTCTTGTTACAAATCATTTTTCTATCTCTTGTAAAGTTGTGAAAATATAAGATGTACTCTTTCTTCGTTGGATGGTTCAAATTTGCTTGAATAAGCCTCTCTCCTTCACAGTATTGAAAAACTTGAACATGGCTTGATATAACATTGTATATTTAATAGCACATAGCTTACTTTTCCATCTACCATTGAAAACATCTTTTTAAGCTTTTCCATTTTAATTTTGCCTCCCTCGCTGTTAATTTCACTTCCATTATTTAAGAGTTTATGTGATTTATTTCTTGCTTTTCTATATCACAGCTTTCTTTAGTATATCAGACAGAGGATGGTATTGGATTTTGCCATTTAAATTTCTTTTTACCACTTGCAAAGATAGTAAAGAACTCTGCAAAATACTGCTGTCAGTCCTTATGATTCTATAATATTTTAATGTTGTGATTCAATATACCCCTGTAAAATACATTAATTACAAAGATTTGTATTTGTTTTGACGTAATGTTTCGATAACGTCGTCATCATACAGTAAGGGTGCTCATTGATCTGTCTGTTTTTTGCCTCTGGTTTCC